TTTTGGTCGCTACCCGGAATCGAACCCGGGACCTTTGAATGAGAGGCCAACACCTTAACCTCTAGGCCACGAGAGCCCCCGGAGTTGGCGTGAAGGAAAGGGGCCCGCTGAAGAATATTAGAAGATGTACCGGAGTTGAAAATCTCTGGTTTGGAATTTTCATAAACTGACATCGGTATTAGAGCACCCGATCTAATTTGGAAAAGGAAAAAAATTTATTAAACTTGGATTGGAAAGAAAAAGTAAACACTTTCTCCGAAAGGGTTTTAATTGGGCGTCATAAGTTCAAACCTTACTGCCACCTTATTAATTGGACAGGGTTTTTGTTGTTGCTGTCGGTGGTGGTGGTGGTTTTTGTCTAGGGGTGATGTTACGGGGGGGGGTTTTCTGTTCAGACTGATGTTTTGTTTTTCCTTATTGAAGGTGAAGCATCTTTAAACTGAAGAGTGCAGTTGTCGTTAGCTGAAAATCAGAAATCAAAACAGTGGCAACAAGCCGGTCTGCACACCGAGACTCGAGCAACTGCAACGTGCACAACCCGCATCGATTACCCTCGGTCTTTGGCTTTCAGCTTCTAGCTACTCTCGCAAAAAAAAGTTGTCTTAAAAGTTATTTCTTAACGTCCATCTCTAACATATAGCGCTAGAAAACCTTTAAACTCTTTTTTAAAGGTTTGTTTGTTTGTTTGTTTGTTTGTCTGTTTGTTTTTATGTTTGCTAGTTTGTTTATTTGGTTGATTAATTGTTTGTTTTTGTTTTATTTTTAAGGTTGGATTCTTGAACGGAGTTTTTTCGCTGTTCCGCTCTATTGGCTCATATTACAAGATGAACAAATAGTAAACCTTAAAGACGAGACAGACAGACAATATTGACAGATATATTGACCTAACATACGCATGCCGGCCAAATGACAGAAAGAGGGGGGGGGGATACCAAGTTCACTGATAAAAAGTGGGTCAAGATGGTCTTCCTACCTTTACATGATCATTGAGATCATTTGGGTCCCTGTTGGTCATATCAAGGTCGAGATCCTGAGACATCTTGCTGGCGTGCTGGTGCTTCCACTCGATAGAGAAACTAACTTGCTGCTGCTACTGCCGCTGCTGCTGTGGGGGTTTTAATATTATATGTGTGAAGAAAAGAGACACTCGCCCGAAAGGTTTTTTTACTTAACGACCGTTACTATTCGAAACCACGTAAACACGTCTGTTGGGACGTCACAAAGGGTTTTTATTGGGAATCTCGACCCCACCCCAGTTTCAACCTCTTTTGTGTCGATCAGCCTGTCACAGTAAAATAGACCTTTTAAAATTCGATACAACGGTGTTCCAGATATGTAAAGACCTGGGGTTTGCCAGGTATAGACTAGGGGTAGGTATCCATGTGTGTGCGTGCGTGCGTGCGTGTTCGTGTTTGTGTGTGTGTGTGTGTGTGTGTGTGT